TCATCTACGAATGCCTTTTAGGTATGATGTCCCAGAAATGGGCTATTGTGTCTGAATATTACACAGAACCTCCCCCCTGCAAACCAAGCTGTACAGTTTTCTCTTCCTCTGTTAACAGATTGTAGGAAACTGCTTAGGAAGTCACGGGTGCAGATTGGGAAGAAGTCAGTGGAGCAGGCGCAGGGACTGTGGTGGGAGTCATTTCATGCAGCTTACTTGTGCCTTCAGTGCTTGCTCAAGTCCAATATTACACATGCTCTTTCCATTTGAGAACAAATCACTGTGCATGCTCAAAATTATGCCTTGGTGAGTCAGACAGCAGCCCACTCATGATTCACAATTCATGGTAAAGAGTCACTTGGTGACCCACAATTAAGTGTCCTAACACCACCAAGCCAAAAGCCATTTCTCAAAAGAATGCATATCCAGAGGATGACAGGACTTTACCCCCAAATCCAGGTCCTCTGCCATCGTTCACCTCCAGCATCCTGCCAAATGCTGCATTTAACACTTCTGTCTGCCACTATGACTTCAGGATCATCTTTGGATATGCTGGATCACATGGCCCAAGTAGCAAAGCAATTTGCACAGCATCCTTGATCTGTGGCAGAGCCCTCCCTTGCTTCAGACCACATTTAAAGCAAGCAGCTTTTCCCAGATACTCAGTAAACAGGCTAGAGTAGCACACCCAAATGAGAACATTTCACCTCTCAAATCCAGAAGCTATCAGCAGTTCTACCCTTTCCTTGACTGTGGAAGGTCATATACAATTTGTCCTTTACCTTATATCACAGGATCCTGGGAAAATTTCTCTGATGTTGAAGGCCTCTGAATTTTTATCAGATTTATTTCCTGCCCGTAGACATGCCACTAAGTCTAGAAGAGTCTACTACTCCCTCATAAATTACAAATAATGCTCCAATCTGCAATAATATTATCAATGTACCAGTTCTGTTTGTGGAAGGGAAAGCTGATTGAAATCATGTGGCAACTAAATTATAACATAGAGCTGATGAATTGATATGCCTTCAAAATAAGATGAGGGGATGGAGAGATGGCTCAGTGGTTAAGAGCTCTCATAGGGGACCAGAGTTTAGTTCTCAGCATTCGTATCAGGTGGCTCACAACCACCTATAATCCCAGCCCCAGGAAATCTGATGGCTTCTGGCCTCTGTGGGCAACTGAACTATGTGCACATACCCTGACACAGACACACATACCTATACATAATTTAAAAAAACAAAATCTTAAGGCCAGGCATGATGATAGGTGTCTTCAATCCTAGCACTTGGGTGTTGCGTGAAAATTAAAAGATACAGATATTGGGGTTCAAACTTCAAGCTGAATATCAGAAAATCAAAGCAGCTGATCACTAGGCCTTACTCTACCTCAGAGTGAAAGGTGATTCTGGCTCCACTAAACCTCAGATTGAAGCCTCTCCTCAGTGTGGCTGGAGAATCCTGAGACTTCAATGTCTTCCTATCCTCAATATGGCTGAAGAATGAATGCCAGCACTGAGACCTTGCTCCTGTCTTATATACCTCCCTAATACTGGGATTATAGGCATGTGATCCCAGGTTCTGGGATCAAAGGCATGAGCTCTGTTACTCTTCACTCTTGTGTCAGCCATGATGGCCTTGAACTAACAGAAATCTGTCTACCTCTTAATCCTGAGTCCTGGAATTAAAGGTATGTACCACAACTGCCTGAACTCTATAGCTTGAGGCTGACTTTGCTTTCTGAATCCTCAGGTAAGCTTTAATAAATCATAAAATAATATATCACCACACTTAGGAAGCAGAAGCAGGAGACTCTCTGTGAATTTGAAGCCAGCCTGATCTACATAACAAGTTCCAGGACAGCCAGGACTATATAGAGGTCCTGTTTAAAATAATAATAACCAATAAAATCTTTAAAAGACAGTGGAAATACGTTGCTGCTCTTGTCAACTGAAAGCAAACATGCTTCTGGTTGCCTTTACTAAGGATAAAAGGAAAACAAAACAAATTAGTAACTGCATACCAGGGGATAATTCATTAAAAAAACAAACAAACAAACAAAAATCTGATTGGAGTCACCACCCAGTTAAACTTATAATCCATTGTCATTCTCTTGGTTTTTACACAGGCCAAACAGTTGACCTGAATGAAGGTGGGGTAGAAATCTCCAAGTTGACGGTGACACTAATCTGTCATCCTTCCAGGATGCAACTGGCTTTGCTTTACCATCCTCTGAGTGGCTAACGTTTGCCTTTTCCTAGTCCAACAGTCCTCACTCTATAGTCATAGGACCAAGTAGAGATTCTGCAAGTTGCAGAGTATGTGCTACAATGATGTATCCTAAAGAAACAACCCCCGTCAGACTCTATGAGACAAAACTGAGCTAGATCTACCTATGATGATTTGGGGTGTGACGATTTGGGGTGTTACCCGAAAATACTGCAGTTAAGAGACAAAGTCCAGTAATCTGTGAGAGGTTTATTTCCTTTTCCCAGTGTTTATCACCCTGTACAAGGCCAGCAGGAAACAGAAAGATTTAACTCAAGGAAATGTGGTCTCCCTTTCATTTAAGGGCTCCAGACCTATAAGCTTGGACAAATCTGGAAACAGGGTAAAGTACTATAACCATTTATAGAATTCAAATTAGTCTCTGTTAACCTGGCCCCAAACTCTTCTCATACAGGTCAAATAAGAATGTAATAGTCAGCTGGGCGGTGGTGGTGCACGCCTTTAAACCCAACACTCAGGAGGCAGCAGGTGGATTTCTGTGAGTTCAAGACCAGCCTGGTCTACAAGAGCTAGTTCCAGGACAGCCTCCAAACCCACAGAGAAACGCTGTCTCGAAAAACCAAAACAAACAAACAAAAAGAATGCAATAGTCTTCTGATCTATCTGGTTTCCAGGAGCACCATAATTAACTGGCCTAACCACTGATCTCTACACACAAATAACAGACTGTGGCCTTGACGCTCTTGTCTTTTATAGTAACCAAGCATACTTTGCCATGGGGATGATTAGGACAGCTCTAGAAATTCAAAGGAAATATTTACCCAAGCATAATCCGAATCTGTGCTAACAGAGACTCCAGTAACCACACATAGTTAAAAGGCCTTCCACAATAAGCAAAGCAGTAGAGTCCAAAAATCTGATGTGCAGCATGGCATCATTACAAGTCAAAGTCCAGATTCCCAGTACCAAAGCTCACAAGGCATTCCAGTTACAGAAAACAAGCAGAAACTTCCTCAAGGAACCAAGACAGTGGCCCTACTGGCCCAAGACATTAACAGTACCTCAGGATAGAGATGCGGCTCTGTAGACAGTGCCAGCTTAACATGCAAAAATCCCTGAGATGGGTGGTCATGGCGCACGCCTTTAGTTCCAGCACTTGGGAGGCAGAGGCAGGTGGATCTCTGAGTTCAAGGCCAGCCTGGTCTACAGAGCAAGTTCTAGGACAGGTTCCAAAGCAATACAGAGAAAACCTGTCTCAAAACTCACACCCCCAAAAGAACCCGTGAGTGACCCCAGCAATGCATAAACCAGATGTAGAGGCACACACCTGCAACCCCATTCTCAGGGGCTATAGGCAGGAAGACGATAGATTCAAGGTTACCCTCAGCTACACAGCAAGTCTGAGGCCAGCTAGGCTTCATGGGACTACAGTCTCAAACAAAACAAACCGGCTGTCTTAAACAAATTAAAGGCTGATAGAAAACATGAACAAATTAAATAAATGAAATCAATTACTAACATCAGACTGTCAACAAAGATAAAAATGATTTAAAATGAAAAACAAAAAGCATCAAATTATGGAGCTAAAAACATAACTGAAACAAAACATTCACTAGAGGAATTAAAGTTAAGTCTGAGCAGGAAAACAATCAACCAGCTTAAGGACTGAAAAATAAAAATTGAGTCTAGGAAGCAGAAAGTGGAGGGGGGGAAGAAAATCCAAAGGGACCTATCTACATGGCCACCATTGTGATGCAGTAGATTCATTATGAGTTCCATAAGAGAAAAAGAGCAGTATGGTTTACAAAAGAAAAAAAAAATGGGCCAGGCAGCAGTAGTGCATGCCTATAATTCCTTCTATCAGGCGGATCTCAGCAAGTTCGAGGCTAGCCTGGTCTACAGAGTGAGTTCCAGGACAGGACAGCCAGGACTGTAACATAAAGAAAAAAAAAAAAAAAAAAAAAAAAAAAAAAAAAAAAAAAAAGGCCAAAAACCTCTTAGATTTAATGAAACATGTTAATCTACAAGACCAGGAAACTCCCTACTAAAACACATGGGAAGGGCTTGCTTTACCAAAAAGTATTAGAAAGTATTAGAAAAAAGTATTAGAAAAGTATTAGAAAGATATGAAGACAGAGTTAAGCATTTTATAGGAAATATAATGGTGCTGTCAATATGGTAGTTCCTCAAAGTCAAACACAAAATTCTTTGCTGTATAGAACCAACCAAACCAACCTGAAAGGATGTCAACAGATACTTGTACACCAATGTTGCGGTAGCCATTGTTCTCAATAACTAAAAGGAGGAAACAACCCAAGTTCATCTAAGGATGACTGAATAGACCCAACATGGTGTGTATATATACAGAGGAACCAAGCGTTTATGGTGTGGTACACACTGCATTCTCTGTATGAGATCTCTGGAGTACACATTCATAAAGATGCAAAACAAGAATGGTAACCAGAGACTGAGAAACAACACAATATTGTTTTTGTGAGTAAGAGTTTGTGTTTGGAATGATGAAAACATTCTGGAAATGGCTGGTGATAATAATTATGCGACAGTGTGAATGTCCTCAATGCCATGGAGTCAAATTTAAAATAGATGAAACTGGCAATTTTATGTTATAGATATTCATCATGGGGCAGAGAAGAGAATATATTAACATCAGGTTTCTATAGTCTATATAATGTCTTTAAAATTTTGCCTCTGACCTCTCAACAGAAATTTTTTTCAAATTGACCTTTGTATGATAATAGATGACAAATTAAGCACAGCACAGTATGTTTTTATTTCAAAATGTCCTATAGAACCTTGTATCAACAGAAATCAAAATTGACCTTTGTATGATAACAGATGACAAATTTAGCATGGCACAATCAGTTAGAAATGTTTTTATTTCAAAATGACCTATACAACCTTCTCTAGACAAAGGTCTCTTGATTTTAGTTCTAATAAATCAGTCAAAGCAGAACTAAGTCTCTTTGTCCAAACTGAAATGGCCAGACAGGGAATGCTGGAGGACGACGAGACTTCCTAAGTCTCCATCTATCTCCAAGAAGGTTCTTCTGCATTCCCAAAGCCTCTACTTTGATTCTTAATATCAAAGCTGGGTTTGGTTTTTTGTCTTGTTTTGGTAAAATCACTAAGCCTATCTATGTTCGAGAAGTCGGCTATGGCAGAGAGACGGTCTCTTCTGGGCCTTTGCTCAGGATCCACACATTAGGCACTCCTCTCTGTTCTCTAAGGAGCACACCATGGCTGCTGTGTTCCTCTCCTTCTCTTCTTCCTCCTTCAGGGCCTTCTCCCTGTCTTTCAGCTTTTCCTTGTTCAGCGTGAACTGGATTGGATTAGCTGCAGGTCTCGTCCTTAAATAATACATCCCAGTCTTTAAGCCCTACATGGGAAATAAGCACAGCTATTAGGAAGAATTCCAGGACACTACAGAGTCAAGATCTTTGTTCAAAACAATTCCCATGGATCAGTCACAAAATTAATTTTTTAAACCTTTAAATACATGCCTATAAAACAACTTGAACTCCTTTTTAAATCTGCAATTTTATCTACTCCATGAAGCATTCTGAAAAATGCTGAAATAAGACAGCTAAACCTTGGAGGTTTTGTCCCTAAAACAGGACTGCTCTTTGGAATGTCAAATATTTTTGTTCAGTTGTATTTACTTTTACACGTATTACTTCCAGTTTGTACAAAGCAACATTCTTGGCTTAGACTGTAACCATTTAGGGGATGAGAAGATCTCAGTGGAAAGACAGACTACCAGCACTTCACGAGGGTCATCTTCCTGTCTAGTATTCCCAGGAGAAGCAGACAAAAAGCATATCAAGTAAGAAAGTCGATCTGTAATTCCACAGGCCTCTCACATGTCAAGGCATAAGGATATAATGCAAAATAGGTTTGCTGCACTTTGCAGTTGGCAATATTATAACCTGGCTCATAGCTGTGGATAAAGTAGGGAACAATGGATGCTTTTGAATAGTGGGTTGTGTAAAGCTACTTTGGAAAAGGCAATAGTGTACAAGATGGTCTGGAACACAGAGGTCAGTGAAGAAGGTGGCAATAGTGGCAATAGAAGAGAAAGGGAGCCGTAAGAAACAGTACATAGGAGCAGAGAGACTGTAAAAGACAGAGGCCCAGACAACTGGAGCAGAACAGAGTCTCTGGCTGCACGTTAGTCATTGTTCTAACATGGAGTTCTTGTGTCTCCACCCCTAATTTAGGAGCTATGGACAGATGACAGTTTCTTAGGGAAAGAAAGTCAAAACTCCAGTGGATGGTCCCACACCCAGAAGTGTATGGACAGTACAAACTGGAGTTGGTGAGAGAGGGCTAGGTGCAGTGGTGCACACCTTTAATTCAGCAATGGGAGGCAGAAGCAGGCAGATCTCTGTGAGTTTAAGGCCAGGCTGTCTACACAGCAAGTTCCAGGACAGCCAGGGGTGCACACAGAGAAACTCTGCATCAAAAAAACGAGAGAGAGAGACAGAGAATACAAAGTTGTAGGAATTGGGTGGATTTGGGAGTAGTTAAAGGTGATTATGAATGATCAAGACACATTGTATGAAATTCTGAAAGAATAAAAATATCTAAAACAAAGGCTAGATGATGGTTCAGTAGCTTAAGCTTCCTGCCCTCTTAGAGGATCTGAGTGTTCAGCTCCCAGCACCCATTATCAGGCAGCTCACAACTGCTGAACAGAAACAAGAAAACCCAAAGTGAAAGTTTGATCTGGAATAAAAACCACTCAGCTTTAACACATTTTGGACTTGAAGTGAAAAACATCCAGATAGCAATATGTAAAAGGCAGCTAGAGCAGAAACTAATCCAATTCCCAAACATCCCAAGCTGGCGATTAAGCCCTCTCAGGGTGCTGGACCAACCTGCTTCCAGCCGTAGAAGTGCATACTAGTGAGTTTGCCATAGTTAGGCTCAGCAATATGGATGTTTAATGACTGGCTTTGATCGATGAAAGCACCTCTCTCAGCTGCCATCTTGAGGACAGTCTTTTGAGAGATTTCCCACACAGTCTTATAGAGTTGCTTCAGGTCATCAGGGATTTCTGATATGCTCTAGAAAATGAAAACAATGTATTGTTGTTTTAATTCCAATTAAAGAAAGCAATATAACTAACAGGTTACTGATGCTTGCTATGATGCTTGGTTTGGTCTTCCTGAAGAACTGACACTGCTATACAGTTAGTATCTTAATGGTTATAGCAAGTTTGCCCAAACTGGTAATCTCTTGCTTATAAAGTCAAAAAAATGTCATTTAACCAATCAAATATAAATCTGATGAAGTGATTTAAACATGAACTGACTTATGGGCAAAACAGTTATTATTCGAGATCTATTTAAGGAGGGGGGGCACTGGAGAGATGGCTCAGCAGTCCTGAGTTCAATTCCCAGCAACCACATGGTGGCTCACAACCACCTTGAATGAGATCTAGTGCCCTCTGCTGGCAATGCAGGCACAAGACTGTATACATAATAAATAAATAAAATCTTAAAAAAAAAAAAAAAAAAAAAAAAAAAAAAAAAAAAAAAGAAAGGGGGGCAGGTAGTGGTGGCACATGCCTTTAATCTCAGCTCCTGGGAGGCAGAGGCAGGCAGATCTCTGTGAGTTCAAGGCCAGTCTGGTCTACACAGCAAGTTCCAGGACAGCCAGGGCTACACAGAAAAACCCTGT